TGATGAGAGGGTGATGTTTTTCTGCTTCTTGCTGTTCCAGGCCACTGAAAAGGCTTTCCAGAAGCAGAAGGATCTGTTATGCAAAATTTGTGTCTTGAGATCATCTGCCCATGTGGCATTGGTGTAGTGTTAGATGGAGCTGGAGGAGTCTGCGGAGTCTGGTCTTAACGTGAGTGAATAGTCTATTGTTCCCGCTAAGTATTCCCAGCAATGGATTACTTGACGCCAGTGTTGAATACCTGGGGGCATTGTTGAAGCTTGACAGGATAGATACAGCTTGTGCAAGGTCTGGTTGAGTGCAGCATGCTAGATAATTTAAGATACCAGTGTGAGATCTGTAGTTGATCTTTAGTAATTTGTTGAATTTGTCTTTGTCTTGGGGAGAAGCTTCTTGAAGCTGAATTCCTATTGAGAGAGAAGCGTTCACCTGTATGCATTCTATTATGCCAGCCATTTCCAGACCTTTTTTTGATTAGCTTCTTCTGAGACAGCTTGACACAATCAATTTCTTGCATGAGATCCATTCCGAGAAGTGTGTCTGGATCGTGAGCCAAGGAGTTGGGAAGTCACTTAAGATAACTGTTTTCAAAGTTGTCTACTTCACCGACTACAACAAGATCGTCCACATGGAAGAAGATAAATGACTTTTTATCTTTGTGTATGATCAAGACACAGGGGTCCAATTTTGTCAGCTGGCAAGCAAAACCCAGTTACCCCTTAACTAGTCGACTTGATGTTTTGCTACACCAGCTGCATGTTTCTTACATTTCACACTCATTTCACTCATTTTCTTATTCATTTCACTAATTCATTATTAACATACTCTACATATGCTTTTATCTAGTTGTCCTTGCCAAGCCAGATATATAGAGTTGCATGGACTGAAGTCTATTGTTCCCCAGACTTTCAGAAGAGAAGAAATAATAACCACACTTTATTTTACCCTCTTTCTCTTGAAGATACATCAACACATCACTACTTCAGAAATGACTGTTTGGATCTCAATACACCGGACTGTCTCAAAACTTATCAATGGCCTGGGCATGAACTCTTTGGATTAGATCAGTATCTTTCTACGGCTTGGAGCCACTGGACGTATCAAGTAAAATTCCATTGAGCGGATCTCATCACCTCAGAGTAAAACACCGCTGACAATTGGCAACCACCCCATATACCTGTACACCTGGACAGCCCTGTGCAGACGGAACCCTCTCATTCCAAGGATTCATCATTTTTTTTTTTTGGTTTTTTTAAGAGGAATAGAATCTGTTTTACCATTCTGGATTAACACAGATAAACCATCATTGCCTTTTTGGTACCCTTTGCCGTTTCTTGGTCATCAAGCCTGACAACAAAAACCTCTCTCATCTCTTATACTCTCCTCATCTTTTCATTGGAAATCATCTCTGGGCCCAAAGTTTGTGATCATTGCTGATTATCCCTCTGAACACATTGTGGTTTCTGGTTCCTGCAAACTATTTGCGTTGTTTTGGAATCAGAATTCAATCTACCATTGCTGTTTCTCGCTGGTTGCCTGACAATTGCTTTTGATCGCAAGGTCTAATATTTCAGAATTCACGGTTCTCCGCAAGGAACTCTCCAACTTACGGACTCGGCTGGAGACCCTTGAAGCAAGAATTACAACAATACCTTTGGCTCCTGTCCAATTATCAAGTTGCAGACTTGCAAAAAGCAAGGATAAGCTGGTAGAAGACAAGGAGGAAACCTCACGGGTCTTGTTTAAACCTTGCAAGACATATTCCTCAAAATCAAAAAGAAATCCTCAGACACTCCGCAGCCGGTTGTTTAAAGTGATGCAACACCTCATCAACGTTGTGGATATTGCACGTTGAAGGCACAACTAGCAATTCAAACAAGATTCACATTAACAGAAACTGTTCTTACTATTTGGTTGCCTGTTGTTCCTCAACAGTAAAGGCAAAAGAAGCAGCAAAACCAAAAAGAGCACTGAGATTTTCATTGAAGGAGGAGGCCATTCTGTCTGGTAGCCAAAAAAAATTGGATGTCTCTGCTATCTCGCTTCCATCAATAACTGACCTTGAAGCCCCAGCAAATCCAAATTCAGGAAAGAATCCTCCGATACCGCCAAGTAACCTGGGGAAAACGCTCAGCACAAGCTCTGAGACCGCTTGGGACCTGCACCCTAAAGGTTCTCCCTCAGCTACCCGTGCTTCCTGCAATGACTAAGTTCCAAGGACTGATGAAAGCCAAATCAGCGCAGGAGCCTGTGAAACTACCAAGTAGACTGGGGACAGCTCTCAATGCAGGTTCTGACTCCCCTCAACACCTGCATCCTAAGCAACCTTGCAAAGTCAAGTTTTCCAACAACTTGGCTACTTTAAATCAACAGTCAGGATAGTACTAAAGACTGCCAAAATTCCAACTGTCACAAGAGCTCCAAGAAACATCCTGCCTGAAGTTTTTGTGCATAACAACCTCCAACTTTGCTGCGGACAATTCTCCCTCCTCAAGCACAACCCCGCTATGCTAGATCTCCTGCTAACATCAGTCAAAGACAAGAGATTCATTGCAACTGCATCAATGACTGATATAGAGAACTTACCACAGGCATCTGAAATGTTGATCAGAAGAAATATACTTGGTATTTGGGAATGGAAGGAAGATACTTCAAGAGCTAGGCTTCATGAGTACAAGACACCAGAACTTGGGACTACTATTAGTAACAGAAGCTTCAAGTTTGTTGGTTTTGCATGGAAAGGCGCTTTAGGAAAACAATCACCAAGAATAGAAGAACTTCATGGGGACATCTCACAAGGGGCCAACACTCTCCAATGGTATTGGTTCAAGGATCTCTGGGTACTTTTCTACTTTGATTAAATTTTATCAAATGATAGCTTCATTGTCAGCTGGCAAGCAAAACCCGGTTACCCCTTAGATAGTTGACTTGATTTTTTGCTACAGCAACTGCATTTTTCTTACATTTCTTTCACACTCATTTCACTCATTTTCTTATTCATTTCACTCATTTCATTCTTAAAATACTCTACATATGCTTATATCCAGTTGTCCTTGCCAAGCCGGATATATAAAGTTGCATGGACTGAAGTCTATTGTTCCCCAGACTTTCAGAAGAGACAAAATAATAACTACCCTTTATTTTACATCATTCCTTTTTCTCTTGAAGATACATCAACACATCACTACTTCAACCTAGCGTATTCCTCTCAAATCACCAAATGACTGTTTGGATCTTAATACGCCTGACTGTCTCAAAACTTATCAACGGCCTGGGTGTGAACTCTCTGGATTAGATCAGTATCTTTCTACGGCTTGGAGCCACTGGACATATCCAGTCAACTTCCATTGAGAGGATCTCATCACCTCAGAGTAACCCACCGCTGACAGATGTTGACTGAAATAATTCAATTTTGTTAAACCATGAAGTCAGAGGTAGATACCAGTTTGTGGGGGCTTATTTTAATCCGCATAGGCATTTTTTTAGTTTTAGGTATGGAGCTGTTTTTTTGAATCCTCAAGTGTTTTGATGTACAGCTCTTCTTGAATAGGAGCAAATAAAAATGTGCTTTTCACATTGAATTGGCAAATCTTTAGATTTTTATCAATTACAAATGATAAAAGGATGAGAAGAGAAGTTAATTTTCCAGTGGGGGCAAAGGTTTTGCCTAAATCTTGACCCACAACTTGCATGAATCCTTGAATGCACGGTCTAGCCTGCTTCCTTTCTGCTGACAAAAGAGTTGATGGTTTGGTCTTGGATATCCACAATGTGCAAAGGAAGGAGGCAGGTGGATCAAATTTGTCTTCCCAGACGTCATGTCCTTTGATGTTGTCTAGTTCTTCATTGGCAGCTTTTGACCATTCTACTTTCTTATCAGATTTCATGGCCATTTTATAAAAGGTAGGATCTCCCATAAGGTAGCTGTATTTGACTGGTTTCACCTTCTCTGTCCAATCTTGCAGTACTTGTGGTTGAGGTATCAGTGAGTCTTCAACTTGGTCATTTTCATCAATTGACTCAGAATTTTCTTTGCATGAGAATCAAGTAGGATGTTGCAGTCATCAGCAGAGTTTGTAGCTTGAGGCAGTGCAGCGATGTTGTGATCATAGTTGTTGTCTTCATCCTCCACAAAAATTAGAACATCCAGGTCATTGTGTGATTCTGAGTCCTTCTTGAAGTTCAGAAATTGAACACTCTTGGTTTCAACTAGCCCTCCGTTGTCCAAGAGAAATCAATAGGATCTTAGTTCTTCATTGTATCCCACAAATTTCCAAGTTTTCCTTTAGGAAGCAATTTAGATTGAGTAGGTACAGGTTTGATTACATAGGATACCTGAATTCCTAGGGGATGAAATAATTATAACGGAAGATTCTGGTTTTTGAAGAGTTCAAACGGTGAGGTTTTTGATTTGTGGCTTGGAATTTGGTTGACAGCTAGAGTGGTGGCTTTCACTACTTTATTCCAGACATCCTTGAAAAGGCCTGAGTCCTTGAAAACAGCTCAAATTGGCTCTAGGATTGTGCAATTGAAGTGCTCCACCAACCCAGTTTGTTGGGGAGTATAGGCATTGTATTGCCTTGATCTGATTGAGTGATCATTGCAGAAATTCAGCATTAAGTTATTGAAAAACTCAGTCCCTCTGTTGGAGTGAATGACAGTCGGATAGTACCCCAGTCATTTAGCTTCAAGATCAGTGGCTTGAATAATTAGTGGAGTGGCATCACTTTTCTTCTTGAGAGGAATATGTTGAGGTGTCTGATAGTCTGCTACCATGATGTATCACTACATGTCAAACCATGAGCACTACCACCCAACTACCCTGGCAGTCACAAGTGTCTGTAGCCTAGTTGGTAAAGGCAGCACTCTAGTATGTGTCTCAGCTTAGCTGAGGTTGTGAGTTTGACTCTCACCAGATACATCTTCATTTTATCTGTCTCTACAAGGACAAATCCTGGTGGGCTTGAGACAAGGAGGACCACATGGCAGCAGTGTTGGTGCCATGGGATCAAATGAAACAAAGATTGGTGGGGTGGATTGTCCTTGCGATGAAAAAGGAGACTGTGACGGTATCCTTCACGCAGGCGGCGGTGGAGACGGCATTGAGAACGCAGGAAATTCCGAGAGACTTGAGGTGGAGGAGGACTACAAAGCTCCAATCAAGGTAATTGGAGTCCCCACCCTGCGGATTGAGTTGTACGATCCCGGAAACCTTAAGGTTAGAGGAATTGTAATTGATGGGCTTGGAGTTGGTGGCTGATTCAGTGCTGGCCATGGCAAGTGATCCCTTGTATCCAAGAGAATTGAGTCAGATGAGTTTGTGCGTTGGAGTCAAAACAAAATAAGATGGGATAGCAAGAAGAGTTTGAGACTGTTAAGCACAACTAGTGCTCATAACCTGTTGAGATGACCTCAGGTGACTGGAGACTGTTGGAAAGGATGAGGAAAAGAGAGCCTCCCAAACACAACTGAATCCAGTATATGAACTAAAATTAAAACAGGTGAAGGTCACAGAGTGTGACATGAGAGAGGTGAAATCAGAAAGAAGCATACAACATGAAATGAGATGTTGCAGGTATCTCAACAGAATAGTGGTACAGTATCTTGTGCATGCATCGACCATTGTCATGAAGTAGCAATGGCCTTCTCTAGATGATGGATTAATTGGACCAACCAGATCAAGATGAATTTCTTCAAAGGGCTTGGATACAGCGTATATTTTTTTGTAAAACAAGGCTTTAGTGATTTTTGATACTGCACGCGCCTCACAGACACTGCTGGGTTTGACAGGAATTTCATGTTTATGCCTTATTTGGTGATAACTCACATGCCCCAGAGATTTGTGAAGGTTCTCACTGGATGACAGAAGACTTCAATGGTTCTCAAACTCAAGACTGGGCAAGTTGCCAATGTATTGACCTTTCATGCAAACGTAGCTGTCTTTAAGAATTGAAAATTCATTTCTATCAAATTCAATTTGATATCCATCTAAAACAAGACATTAAACAGATAGAAGATTTACAATGATATTGGGGACAAAAAGAACATTGTTGAGAAGGAATTCACCAAATTTGTTCTTGAGCTTGATCGAACCCGTTCCCTTTATCTTCAGCAATTTGGAGCCCAAACTTGCTTTCATGATGCCCCGTTCTTTCAGGGAAATGGACAGAAACGATGTGATATTGGAGGTCATGTGAGTGGACAATCCGGAATCAAGGATGAAGAAGGGAGTTGGAGAAGAAAGGGAAGAGTGAAAGCTGCTAACAGTACTCTCTGAACAAGAGCCTTGACCTTGAGATCAGAAGTTAGGTCACAGCACCAGGAAAAAAAATGTGGAACTCCTATAGAGGTGCTTTCACTTATCTCTTGTTTAACCTTACTGTATTCAAACTGTATCTAGTCTGTATCCCCACTGTTGCTAGGATATATCCTTGTATCATTATTTATTTTTATTTGTCATATGATTCCTCTGCAATTGAAGTAATTCCAAATATTTAATTCATAATTTTTCAAATTATAAGTAAAATACTTGAAACCCTAAATAGATAAAAAGGTCAGATCTCAATATACATCCCCATCCACGTAAATTTATTACACAATGAAAAACCAAAATAATCTCAAAAATAAATGGATTGAATCCCTATCCTAATAACATATTATTTGATTCAGGTTATTTATGAGATTGCTGAGTATGAATTCTAATGAGAATATAAATATGTATTCTACTTCACAAATCAATTCAGTTTCATTGAAAAATTTATTCTTATTTGACTCCTGTTTTATGAAGATTAATATTCTTTTCTCCCTTGTGCTTGCTGTTCCAATCTCAGTTATCTAAACCCCTAGGTGTATGTGTATATTTAATTTTATAGATTTTGAATTATCTTTATGAGGATGAGAGAATTCAAATTGTTATATCTGGGAGACCCTTAATGATGTTCAATTTTGACATAATGATATTACCAATAACTTGCACTTTTCACACATAGTTATGATAATTCATGAAGGTAAATTTTAGTCAAAAATAAAAACAGTCCTCATATTATTGGCTTTATTGATGAAGATATATGATTCTGTCATAATTTTTATCTTAATTTTATTATGGATTACTTCTCCCTTCCAAACAACATCACAATAAGCCAGGTTTTTTCTCAATCTAAATTATAATTCACAGGCAAATGAAAAATACCATACGACATGAGTGCTTGATCCCTTCTCAAGGCTCATCTTGTCTACTTCTAGAATTTGAAAACAACAAAGCTGTGTTGTGTTGGTCCAGCATATTTGATAAAACTCAAAAATTTAAACCACTCAAATCAGTAACATTTTTATTCTAATTAAAACAAAGAAGAAAAAAATTTTCATCTACCATCCCCAGCAATAGGTAAGTGTACTGAACTCAATAGCCCAATTTAATGAAATTAGATTTTGTTCCATTTCCTCTGTAAAATTGTTTGTTTTCATACTTGGTTTTTTCCAAGCCTTGTTCTGAAACCAGAATTTTAGGGCTCATTATGTTTCTTCTTCCAATTAATAATGTAGATGATTCTCAGGAGTAGGCTGAGGCATGGAGTGTGTCATCAGCATTCCAGAAAGAAATTATATGTTTTAATTCAAATATGTCAAGGGTTTCCTATCATACATATTTCTCATTTCCTGCTCATCACCACTGGGTAACGAAGTATGACTGTAAATATAAATTTTCCAACTTTGAAAGCCTCAGGATTTTTGCCTAAAATCCCTGGCCACTTTAATTGATTCTTTGGAAATTTTTACATTTTGAGGAGAAATATTTCTAGGAATTGAACAAAAAATTGTGCTATGATCTCAGAAAAACTCATGAGTTTAACTCTCTTCCAGTTGCAAAAAGTGGGCAAGGACTTTTGATTTTCATACTGTGATTTAAGTAATCATTTGTCCAATTCATTATCTTTGAACAATTTCTGAGTTCAAGTTTGCTTGACAGTATTTCACAGGCATTCGAGTAATTATTTTATTGGGATCTGATACACCATCTCATGATTAGCTCCTTGGTTTTTTTTGTTTTTCAAAAACCAGTGATTATGTGAATTTAATTCAGAATGATTGGTATTGATAGCTATCACTGGTTAATTGGGATGCACAAGGGGGAAATAAATCAATATCAATTATAAAACTTTGATATGATTCAAACCCTGATTCCTGTAATAGGTGTTCTCTATCCTTTGGTCAATACAAGATAAAGCTTAGGATAAAACTCTCTTAAGAGTAAAACCTTTTCATTAAGGTTTTCTTTGTTTTTGTTTTTTCAAAAGCTCAAAATTTATCAGGGATGAGAATTTTAGTCATGAAACAGAGGTCAAAATTCCATTTTCTTGCTATACTTACTAATGTAACTGTACAAAATCTCTATTCGCAAGATCTGGAAGAGGAAACAGGAACTAATACTGATCTTCCATATTCAAACATCAGATCAATACGGGTTAGGTATTTTTTGGCTTAGCAAGAGGATCTGGTCTGATTAACTGCATGAAGCAATAAATCTTTATTTCTCCGAGCAGCAGATAAGGAGAATATTTCTTTCCCTCCTTTGCTTGTCCAAATACAAATGCGTTGGTCTGGAGGAGATTGGAGGCATGTTTTCAAAATTAAGACCGCCGGTCTTAATTCTGAAGTACCAGAACCATTTAATTTGTAATCGCCGGTATTCAAGCAATTAAGCCCGCCGGTCTTAATCTGTTTGGTCCGAAATGAACCATCTGCTCTCGTTGCTTGATCGCAACTGCCTTGTCAGTGCAAAAGCGATGGGATGAGGGGAATCTTTCCTTTTTTCCTGATTTAATAGACATCGAGGATCTGGTTTGAGGCAAGATAAATTGGAAATATTGGCCTTCATCTCCTGCTAGGACCAATCCATCTAATTTGTTGGGGGTGGGAGAGGGATTCTTTTTTTTCTTCCTTGACTGTTATAAAATTCAATCTTTTTTTGTCAGAAGATATTCCAAGACCAGTGAAACTCATCACTCATGAATTTACAAACCACAAGACATACACAGCTTTTTTCACCAAGCAAAGTTGAAGTTTCTGCCCTTCTGCTTCTTAGCCCTTTGAAGATGCTCTCAGAAAGTTTTGCTTTCTTTCTATGCTACTTTGAATTATTCTATGTGTTAATTAAAATCTGAAAAACTAGTGTTAGAGTCTTTTATCCCATATTAAGAATTCCAGACATTATGGTTGATTTCAAAGCCTGACTGGGTCTAAATAGATTTTGATTGATGTTGTATCAGTTTGTGTTGAAATTTCAGACTCATACATAAATTGGTGCACAGCAATTCACAATCAAATGAAGCAATTAATCTTGACTCAGCTCGAAAAGGTCCAAGCACCATTTGGAAACAGGCTTTTGCTGTTTTGATTAGGAGAAGTGATGTGATTTTTTGACCAAGAAAGAAAACCAATTTCATGTTTCAGATGATTAATATTTTGATAGAAATCGAGTGTTTGAATGAATTGTTTTTGAACAGATGATGGTGCCTTTTTGTTTTCAAAAGGGGATCCAAAAAATATTTCAAATAATCCATAACTATCTATCACAGATATTTCTAAATGATGTGACATTTCTATCTTTTGAGTTAAAGTTTGAGTGAAGAAAGATCACTGATTGTGAATCTTCTGGAGGTATGGCTTGTAGTTGTTTTTGAGATAAATTAGCATACAAATGTCTGGATTTTCAATCTTACACAATTGTACGAGATCTAATTGTTTTCATCAAGTCATGATTCTGGACTGGTAATTTCAAGTCTTTGAGTTAGGGTTATTAGGAAAGGGAAAGATTTAGTATGTGAAATTTCATAAAAAAGGCTACTGTAATCACTCAATATTTTCAGGTTTTTCTGAAAATCTTACCTTGAAATTTGCTTCCAAATTGAACACATCATTATTTAGCCTCAGAAATCTTCAAAAAAAAATCTGATGGATTCCAGAGCTTAAGACTACCCAGCTGAGATACGGAAGTAGATATGATGTATGCTTGTATAGGATACAGCACATATACAACTGGGATACAGTTGGGATATACAAAAACCACCTCTATAGAGGTTCCAATTTTTTTTTCCTGGTGCAGGTGAGGATGGAGCATGTAGCACATGGATTGGGGATGTCCTGCAAGGGTGTTGTGAGCACCTTTCTTAAATTTCTTCAAGATGTCCGTGAACAGAGCAATCTGAGGTTGAGCGGAATTTGCTTGCAAAGAGGTGGCAATGGCTTGATTGCTGGCATAGA